TTTCTTTCTTTCTTTCTTTCTTTCTTTCTTTCTTTCTTTCTTTCTTTTTTTAGGTTTTTCAAGGCAGGGTTTCTCTGTATAGCTTTGGCTATCCTGGAACTCACTCTGTAGACCAGGCTGGCCTCAAACTCAGAAATCTGCCTGCCTTGCCTCCCAAGTGCTGGGATTAAAGGCGTGCGCCACCACTGCCTGGCTTCTTCTTTCTTTTTTTGTCCCCAACTATGTAACAAATCATGGCCAACAACCAACAATCAGCACACAACAACCACCACCCACCCACCCCACCTCACAGGGGCCTAGCATTTATATATTCTCTGAAAATTTCCCCTGGATTCCAAAGTCACACAGTTGGAGAAACTATCTGCAGCTGGCAAAATCACACCCCTGCTAGAGCACAAGGCGAATCATAGCCAGCTGCTGTGGACAATCTGAAGCAGCCCTATAACCCACACCCAGGATTAAAATAAAAATATAGCCTTATGATATTTCTGTTTGTTTTTTTTTTAAAGAATTCAAACTCCAAGACTGTCACTACAACAGGATATGTATGTAGGAATGTCTGAAATCCTTTTAACAACAAAATAAACTAACTTTTGGGGCTCCAAAAGCAGGTGACTTCACCTCTCCATTCTCTAGTGTGGAGAGGAGAGGAGCAGTCCCAGGGTGTGCAGTGTGCAGTAGCATTCCTCACCCTTACTGAGCCGACACTGTAGCACACCCACCTCCCCCAGGGCCTCAATATCACGCCAGCTGAGGATTCTGTCTGACACCGGAAGGAAGGAAGCCAGAGCCTGAATAGTGTTTCCTAGGCAGTTTAGGGATCCACATTAGCCTTCCTGGTGCCATCTGTGGCTATTTTAACAGCCCCTAATTAACCCTGGTCTACTTTCTGCAATATACTGCATTTCCCAATACACTCCAATACACAACCAAAGACCCAAACAACTTCTTCCCCTCAGTTGCTTTATAACTAAACCTTCATCCTTTCTTTTCTTTTCATTTCTTTCTTTCTTTCTTTTTTTTTCTTTTTCTGAGACAGGGTCTTGCTGCATAGCTCTGGCTGGCCTTAATCTCACAGAGATCTACCTGTGTCTTCCAAGTGCTGGGATTAATGGTAAATTAAAGCAACGCATTGTCATGCCTCACTGTTGCCTTCTCCTTCAGATTCCTGGTACCTTCCACTTACAGTGGTCAGGTCTTTTACACTCTATAATACTGGTACTATAGAAATCTTTAAAATTGTGACTTCATTAAAGAAAGTACTTACCATACTTATCCTTGCTCACAACAGTCCTGGTTAGTTTTATGTCAACTTGACACAAGTAAGTCATTTGGGACTAAACAGAGAAAAATGTCTCTATCAGATTAGCCTGTTAGCAAATCTGTAGGGCATTTTCTTGATTAATGATTGGTGTAGGAAGACCCAGCCCACTGTGAGTGATGCTACCCTTAGGCAAATGATCCTGGGTTGTATAAGAAAATAGGCTAAGCAAGCCAGGAGGAGCCGAGCCAGTAAGCAACATTCTTTCTCCATAGTCTCTGCACATTCCTGTTTCCAGGTTTCTGCTTGAGATTCTGTCCTAATATCCTTTGGTGATGGAGTGTGACCTAAGAGTCATATGATGAAATAAACCCTTTCTTCCCAAAGGTGCTACTGGTCATGACATTTATCACAGCAAGAGAAACTGAAAGATAAAGCTAATCATGAATGTCAGGAGTCTCAGCATGCTGTAACCATTCACAGGGAAGGTAACACACCGCTCTCTCTCATGACAAGAGAAGGTCATCATAAGCTGGCCTTTCATCAGAACAGGATGGGAGTTGGGGGCAGCCTCACCTTTGGGGGCTTGAAAGGATAATCTGTAGGGAAGTGGATGGTCAGGAAAAAAACACCTCCTTGGTAAGGACTGTCATTCTGGAAGGACAAGATAAAGGAAGACATCAGTGCCTGCAGGAAAGATGAAGCACCAGAAACAACCTAGAGCTGTGCATGCAGCAGGACTACCTACCGGGCCCGTGATGCTGGCCTGCCAGTGGAACACTACAAGACAAAAGAGAGACAGGCATGTAAGGGTCCTCAGTGAAGAGTGCCTGTTCTACTGGAAAAGTGCTGCTGGGCTCCACACAAGCCTGCCTCGTTTCTGACACCGACTGCAGTGTGGGCTTGAGAAGCCCTCTCAAATCCCACGACCCACTAGGACTGACTCCAGGGCTCCTTAGAAGCTGCTGCAGCCAGGGTTATAGGTGCTGCCAGGACACAGATCCACATTCAGTCTCCCAGGCAGTTACTGCCAGTCAGGAATGCTTACTTGTGCAGCAGTGCTGAGCAGAGCAAGACCCTACCATGAGCATACGACTGCTGAGCATCTCTCAGAACTGGGGTTAAAGTTCCCTCAGACAGTTTTTGGTCAAGACTAATTTTTTTGTTCCTTTTTTCAAGATTTATTTTTACTTTATGTGTATGGGTATTTTGTTTGCATGTATCTATGTATGTGTACACACACACGCACAAACACACACACACACACACACACACACACCCCATATATGTGCCTGGTACTGAGAAGGGTAGAACAGTGTTGGATCCCCTGGAACTAGAATTGAAGACAGTTGGGGACCCCAAGTGGTCCTAGGAACTGAAATCAGGCTCCCCGAAAGAGCAACAAGGGCTCTAAACCACTATGACTACAATTCTAGCACTCTCTTTGCATAGAATTACACCCTAAGGTTAGGCTTCTGCCACTTTACATGTCGTTGTTGACAAGCCTTTCTGTTCCCCAGTTTTTCCCTTGATTAATTTTGACCCTTTTCTGTGTCTTAGTCAGGCTGTGAGGGCTCTTGGTCACCCATGTCATCCCACCCAGTGACCCAGGCAGTGTTCTGAGGCTTTGATAACAAACCAAGATGAAGCCTTCCTGTTTTTGTCAAGTTCCTGCCTTTCAGCAGCCAGAGTTTCATATCTAAACTCCTGTTGTCTCCAGGGTCTTGGGCTGTCTTTACTGCTCTGCCCATCCCCAGAGTACCTCCTGTGTGCTCACCAAACTGCCCTGAATGTTCCAAACAGCCACATCCAAGGCTCCAGAGTACTTCAGGGCAATGGGCTCCAGAACCTCTGTGAAAGGTGTCTTTTCACTAATGGGGTGGGCCTTTGAGTTTTTAGAGGTTTTCATTCTCAAGAATATCCATCTCATATAAATCCACAACAGGTATTGAAGTAGGACAAGGTTTAAGGCCTGGACCTGTCCTGGATTTCTTGTCACCTGCTCTACAGGCTCAGTCCATGTCAGCAGGACAGGGACAGCACTTATGTTTAGAACACGGGATTGAAGACAATCTTCTGAAACCCCTTGGCTCACAGATCTTCCTCAATATTTCAATCAAATGCTTGCCTGCACTAATGAAGATATTATTCTTTTAAACACTTTAAATCACTATTGCTGCATGCTTTGCCATAGCACAGAGAGGTCAGAGGGTGACTTAGTGATGTCCCTTCCTTCCTTTCGCTGGTGAGTCTGGGGCCTGAACCCAGGTCATTAGACTTGCATTTACCTGCTGAGTCATTTTGCTGACTTGGAAATATCACTTCTTTTGCTTTTGACTGTTTTAATTCCATATCATGCTAATTATTTGGTTAAGTTTTGATTTGTTACTCTGTAGGATGTAATGGGTGTATATAGAAGTCTGAGGACAGTACTCTATGCAGTCGGTTCTCTCCACTTTTACATGGGCTCTGGGGATCAAATTCAAGTTGCCAGACTTTCATGTAACACACTTACCCATTAGCTACCTCAGTGAAACAAGGAATACAGGTATGTATTTCAGTGTGGGTACTTTGTACATAACTCAGATCCTTTTGTACTGAATGAATCATCTTTCCAGTCCTAAAAAATGTTTATTAAGTGATAGAAAAATATATATTACATAAAAATAACCATTTGCAGGAGGCTCAAATTTTAAGGCAATCTAAATTTTAAGGCACTGTCTCAAAAACAACAACAACATCAACAACAACAAAAAAAGAATTAAGAATCACAGGGTCAGCCGGGCAGTAGTGGTGCACGCCTTTAATCCCAGCACTTGGGAGGCAGAGGCAGGTGGATTTCTGAGTTTGAGGCCAGCCTGGTTTACAGAGTGAGTTCCAGGACAGCCAAGGCTACACAGGGAAACCCTATCTCGAAAAACCAAAAAACCAAAAAACCAAAAAACCAAAAAACCAAAAAACCAAAAAACCAAAACCAAA